ATACTGTCAATCTGAAGAAACAGTTCCAATCCATTAGCTGCTCCACCGGAGAAACATGGGCAGTGTACCCCAGAAAACACGTTGGAGGGTCACCTATGGGTCATTTTCTGACTCAGTGGTACACAACAACAACCACAAGTGAGTGGTTCTAACAACCAAGGACAAACTCTACTTATTAGAAATTCTTCTTGATGCTCCTAAGACCTCCCCTTCTGAGCTCCCTTTCTTCATCTTAATCACTAGTAAAGTAAAAGATGTTACAGGCCACATCCTAGGGAAACTCCTTTATATGGGACTAAGTCTGTAATAGGATGAAGGGGTGTTGCATTCTGCCCTCAAACATTTTACAACTGCTTGGTTTAATGAATGGAATTCCAAAATCTCTGTAGGTGTTCATTGAAATGAAAAATAAATAAATTAAAATATAAACAAAATAAAAAAACCCACAAATCCAGAATATTATCCCATATATAATTCTTCATTAGAATATGAAGAATTTTCTCTTAACTTAGTGCCCCAAACACTTATTAAAAGCATAAATACAGCAAATGCTTAATATTTGTTTCTAAATGCACAATATTGCTTAAAGAAGGCTGAATAATTATGAGCAATATTGCAGTATTGTTATTTTTTTATGAACCATGGAGCTGGAAACAAGTCATAACTGACCTTCAATTTTCAGATTCAGTAAATCTCAATGAGGAGACAGCCCATGAATAATTTTCCTGAGGAGCAGCTGGAGAATTCAAACCATGTGCCTTGGGGTTAGCAGCACAGCTCCTTACCTCCAAGTCCCCAGAGTTCTGTCACTGCCTGTACTCTATCCCTATCCAAACAAAACATAGAGAAGTGACACTCAGAGACTTCTAGGTCTTACTCAGGTTTGGGAACCTCTCATAATGATTCCTATCAAGTCTTTTATCTTTGCTTCCAAGACTCTCACACCTTCACCATGAAACTGTCTCTCCTGTCTTTGGACCCCTATGCTTCCATGTCATTTCTCCCACAGTGGCTCTGTTTTCATTTTGCTGTGCATCTCAGCAGTTTCTCTTCTACTCTTTGCCCATCTCAGTAGAAGGGAAATGTCTCCCAAGCAGATTCTCAAGTGACAACTTGTATCACCTTGCATAGTGTGATTGGGTTTGCATAGTCTTGTGATTCTGAGATGCTATTAATGATACAGTTTTGATTTAATAACATACTTCTTTCAGAAGAATAAATACTTATCAATTCTAGAATGAAAGTGGTAAGGACACTCTAATTACAATTCAGTGTGGCAAGGGTATGAATTATTATATTTTTAGAATTATCTACCTTGTGTGCCAAGATTGTCCTCTGTAAAACCATCTTCAACCCATGTGGTCAAAAATAAAGAACTGTACTCATAACATTACAAGCATGCCTCAGCTGAGGACAATAGAATTAACACAATGTAACCATGTGCTATACAGTGGTATACCATATTGTGTTATAATATGGCCAATCATAGCCCTAAGAGTCCTTGTCTTGGTATTATGTTCTAGAAATTGTTTCATATCCTACAGTTTTCACAATCGTCTCATAAAGTTTCTTTTTCACATGGGAAAATTGGAGCCCATTTAGTTATTCAAGAAGTATATGGCATTCACACAAATTTAGACTGTGAGAGAATTCCCTTTAAAGATTTTTCTGGCCTATCCCCTTTTGTCTTACATGTAGATTAACTGGGGCCAAATTCAGAGAGTGAATCAGTTTTGTAGACTAAACTAGAGCAAAATCCTTCAGACAGACAAGCACATAACTGAAACTGATAGTGGAATATATGAGTTTATGTTCTCCCATTCCACCAGGGTGTGTGTGTGTGTGTGTGTGTGTGCGTGCGCGCACGCGGGTGTGTGTGTGACACATAATATGAGATAGATGATAGATAGATAGATAGATAGATAGATAGATAGATAGATAGATCATCTCTTTGCCGTGCTCTATGATTTTTTTATTGTTGTCTCTTTATTTTCTTAGTAAAAGCTGAACTAAGAGCTTGATTATGCCCCCAGAGAGCCAGGAATCTGTCTGGTTGTATCGCACAGGCCAGTGCTCCCTTCATGACCGTGATATTGAGTCTCCAGTGTCTTTTGTGGTTGTGACTTCCTCTAAGCTTTTTGCAGGAAGTAGGTGGTACGTCACATATGTCTACCTTAGTTTCCTCAGAACTCTTGGCTGCCTCAGCCCCAAACCATAGTTTCCTGTCACTGTCACTGCCACCCAGAGCAACTGCAGTAAATGAAGATAGTAGGTCAAAGAAGCTGGGCCTCTGTGCTGTGTCTAACTAACTGACAAAATCGTCTCTCCTTTTTCTGATTCTTTAGAATAATTTATTCTCTTAACCATTAAACTCCACTCAGATTATATTTTTTTAAAAAAAGACAAAAAGCAGCAATAACAAAGCATCCCTAAACAAGTGGAAGAGACAAGCATATCCTTCACTGCCATTTGGTAAACTGTTACTTTTGGTCTATGTTTCTACCTCATTAGAATATGTTACCTATTCAGACAAAATCTGAATCTACTAAAGTTTTCTTTCTTTCTGACTTGAGTTTAGCCTTTAATGTTGCATTACTTTTTAAAAAGGCTGAAACTGTGATGCTAAATGCAACACTTGAACAGAGCTCACAACTGTGATAGAAAAAGAAGCCAAAACAAATTCACTAATTACTATAACCCAAAAGTGAAAATAATCCAAATGTCCAACTGATAGATGAACAAACAAGTATGGTATGTCCATTGACTAAAATATTATTCAGCAATTAATTACTCCATTGAAATTAAACTCAAACTCATTTCTAACAAATCTAACAAATCAACTCATAGGTGATCCTCCAGAGAGCTTTCAGAGACTCTTAATCACATGGAATGAGAGTGCCCATCTTTCTCTAACTAAGCAGCTGCTGGATTCAAACCACTGGCCTGTTGACAGTACAACTCCTTACCCACTAAGGCCACCAGGTCTCCTATTAATTTAGGTAAATTGTAGTGAGGTACTTTGCAAATGTTAGCAGCACAGGATTATTAGGCATGACTATTCAAATCAGCACCATGGCAGCAGCATGGTGGAGAGAGGTTGAGGTTATTAACAAGTACAGCTTGCTCAGCTCCACAATCAAGACTTTTGACAGCAGCGGTTAAGAAATCAAAAGGCAGACTGCATTAGGTAAATCTGCTGTCAAGGACCTCACCAGAGTACCGAGAAGCAACTGTGTCAGTCTAGAGACTAAAGTGTGCCTGATCTAGGCCATGGTCTTCGCAATTACTTGCTATGCATCAGAGAGCTGAACAATGACTAAAGATGATAGAAGAAAAGTTGATGCCTTTGAGTGTTGGTACTGGAGAAGAGTGTTAAACATACCATGGACTACCAAGAAAACAAACAGATTTGTCTTGGAGATGGTGAAACCAAGTTTCTCCTTGGAGGTAGGATTTTGAAGCTCTGTCTCATATACTTTGGGCATGTGGCCAGAATGCACCCGTCATTGGAGAAGAACATTGTGCTCAGAAGGGTAGTGGGACAACACAGGAGAGGAAGATGCTGGATGAGATGGATTGATACAATAACTGGGGCAATGGGAGTTGGTGTGTTGGAGTCAGTAAGACTGGCTCAGGACAGGACAGTCCTCAGAGCTATTGTATATAGTCACTATGAGTCACAGGCAAATTGATGGAACATAACAACAACAACATTCAAATCAGAGCCAAAATTTTAAGTGAATGTATGAGTTGGATGCACTAGTAGCTCCATTCTTTTGTGGTTATTTCATCAGTACTGACCCAGTGGTCAAGGTGATATAGAGTGCATTCTCAGAGGACTTCCTTCTCCCCTCCTCCCTCCTGGATCTAGGACGTCAGTGATTTTCCCCCTTTCCACTTGAAAGGTCTGAGAAGTACATTCTCTGATGAACTGTTGAGGTTTCCAGAACATAAAGCTTGTACCCTTGAAAGGGTAGAAGAGTCTTCCAATCTTTGTCGAATGGAGGCATTATCGAATAGTAGAATGAACCTGGACTTTGCTGACAAGCCAGGGTCAAATATCAGCTCTGCTGCTAATTAGCTGTGGGATCATGTTGTTGTTGCTGTTGTTGTTATGTGTTGTTGAGTCACAACTGACTCATAGCTCCAATGAGTTTTCAGAGGTGGTAAATCACATAAGAGGATATTGGCTATCTTCTCCTATGTAGCAGCTAGTGGATTGAACCATGTTCACTTGGGTTGGTAGCATAACTCCTTATCTACTAGGCCACCAGAGTGCTCTTTGAAATAATAAAAGAGTCTGTTAAGAATGGATTGAGAAATTATGGTACATTCATACAATGGAATACTATGCAACACACAGGAGCAATGATTGTGTAAATTATTTCTTAACTTGGGAGAGACTAGAGAGCATTATGTGAGTGAACTCAGTCCCACAAGGTCAAATATTGTATAAAATCATGACTGTAGGATAAGTATAAGGAAGCAGAGGGATGAGGATGTGCAGAGAGTGTTTAATCATGGGGTTTTACAATTTGTTGGGGAGATGAGGAAAATTAGAAGAATCTGGTCTGAAAAACAATGTATTTGAATTTTATAAATAAGCTAATATTTTTTTTTAAAAAAAGAGTCTATTAAACTTTCTGGAACACAGTGTTTACATGAATAAAGTGAGCATAGCAATATCTAGTTTTCAATGATATGGTAACAGTTGGAAAATATAATGAGTATGGTATATGGTGAGTTCCAGGAGAGCAGAGGCTGTATCAGTCTTTATTCATTGCTAATCTCAGCCATAAAACAGTACCTGATGCTGTAGGAGCATGAGAACTGTTTGTTGGACAGATGGATGAATGAAACAGTAGCCATTATTACTGATAGTCTACTTCATGCCAAGCTGACCTACAAGACTTCCTCTTTTTATGGGTAAGACAGTAGTAGCGATGTACAAGCCTGGTTTCCTGGGATCCCTTACGTTCTATCCTTTCTAATCATCTCAGGGCAAAGAAGGCGCTTTCATGGTACGAGACTCCAGGACTCCAGGAACATACACAGTGTCTGTTTTCACCAAGGCCGTCGTAAGGTATGATCCCAACTCAGCTCAGCAGTGTAGAAAAAGGGACTTCTTAGAATGAACAGCAGGTACCACACAGCAACATCAGAACATGAAAAAGGTAGAGAGTAACTAGACGGTCTTTGTTTTCCCCATTTCACATGAGAGAACCAAGATGAGGGAGGTTAGAGATATAATCAAAATCCCTTAGCTAGACAGGGGCAAAGATGGGGCTGGACACTAGAGCCGCTTCCTGGATAATGTGTTCTATTATTGCTGCTGGTTTTTACTATCTTGTCTGAATTGACTCATAGCTGACTCTCCCACAGATTTTCAGAGTTTGAACCCTGTGTCTTTGGGATGGTAGTGCAGCTCCTTACCACAAGGTCTTCAGCAGTAAGAAGCTGCACTGCAATCCCAAAGGCACAAGGTTGGAATCCGCCAGCTGCTCTGCAGGAGAAAGATGCTCCATCTCCTCCTGCGTGTGATTAAACTGCCTCTGAAGACCTGCTCGAGTACTCAGTAATAACAACAAGGAAATTAAATTTCTGGTCCCAACGAGTTTATGACTTAATACATGGAGTGACAGAAAAGATACATCTGACTAGAAGCAAGAAGATGTACTGTAGTCCTGGTTCTGCTAATAAAGCTTCCTGTCCTTTGTCAGACTGCAGTGGTAACAGGATTCTCAACTTCCATATGGGAGATCAGGGTTTGATTCCCGACACTTCTCAAAAATCAGAAAGAAGAAAATGTCTGTGGGGTAAAATCTGACAGAAACTAGATATAAGCTTCCAAGAGTCCTTTCCCAGTGGAATTGACAAAGACATATTTAATTCCTCACACAACGAATTATGACAAGATGTGTGATGGGTTGTCTACCAAGACAGCTCATCAGAGGTTCAACACCCAGGGTTTGATTGCAGGCAGGTGACATAGGAATGCTCTGTCTACCTTATACCCAAATTCCAGAATTCCAAAAGTAAAGTAGTCATTCAACATAAGCTATATTGTTTATGTTCAGTGAGTCACTTTTATGCCATGGCAACTTTGCAAAATCCAAGTTCCAAACACTACCTGATGACTACCTTTATAAGAAGATCCCTCTAAGAGGGCCAGGATCAGGCCTTCTATGTTAATTCTTTTCTACACAATGTGAAGTAAGTATGACAGAGCAAGAAATGCTTCTCTAGCATACGTTGCTGTTGTTGTTAGAGACCATTGAGTCAACAACTCTGACTCATAGCAACCCTATGAACAAAGCTTTAAACCTTGCCCTGTCCTACACATCCTCATGATCCCCGTTAAAGCCTATTGCTACAGTCATGGTGTCAGTCTATCTAGTTGAAAATCTTCCACTCTTTCCCTGACTCTTCACCTTTCCCAACAGGATGCCTTTTCCTAATAACTGTCTCCTGAAAACATGCCTAAAATGTATCAGACAAAGTTTAACCATTCTTGTTTCCAAGGAACAACCTGGTCACACTTCGTCTAAGAGAGACTTGTTTGTTCTTTTGACAAGTCCATGGGGGTATAGTCAATACTTTTCTCCAATACCACGATTCAAAGGCATCGATTCTTGTTTGGTCTTCCTTATTCATTGTCTAATTTTCACATGCATTTAAAGCAATTGAAAATACCATTGCCTGGATGCCTTTGCCTTTAAACTGACATTCCTGCTCTTTACCCCATCATGTTGTTGTTGTTGTTAAGTGCCATCAAGTTGTAGACGACTCATAGCAACCCTATGGACGAAAGGTCTGAGCACTGTTCGTACATAGAATTTCCAGAGGCAAGCCATTTCAGAAGTGGATGCTGCCCCTGCTTCGAGGCTTGTTTTAGTCGGGAAGCTCCGGCCAACACTGTTCACAATGGGTACCCATTACCACATTTGGCACATCAGTGTCCCAGTGTTCAGCATCACAGCAACCATGAGTTACCTTTGTACAGCAATACACAGACCAGTGCTATACCACCTAAAAGAATGTTTGACAGAAAAACAGTTTGAACCCAGCCTGAGGGCCACAGATTAAAATCACCCACCTTCGGCTTGGTAGTATAACTTTCTGTCTAGTAGGCCAATGTAGCTCTTTCTATGTTATTGTTGTTATTGTTGTTAGGTGCTGTCGAGTCGTAGACGACTTCTAGAGACCCCATGAACGAGAGGTCTGAGCACTGTTCATACAAAGAGTTTCCAGAGGCAAGCCATTTCAGAAGTGGATACCACTCCTGCTTCCAGGCTTGTTTTAGTTGGGAAGCTCCAGCAAACACTGTTCCCATCATAAGCTGGCAATTAATTATATCCATAAAACAGAGAAAGTAAATATGTAACAGTTGTGACAATATTTTGTGATCCTGGAAGAAGCATCACTGTTCTTTCAATTAGCTATAGGAACAACCTCTATATCCACCATCATTTAGCACTCTTGGAACCATGAAGAGGCAAAGCATCTGATTTCATAGTTAGTTTTATAGTCAAAACATTGCCTATCAATAATCACTACCCTTATGATTCATCTGTTTCAGTGAGAACAATCCCTGTATAAAGCACTATCACATCAAAGAAACAAACGACAACCCGAAACGATACTACGTGGCTGAAAAGTATGTGTTTGATTCCATCCCTCTCCTCATCAATTACCACCAGCACAATGGAGGAGGTGAGCTCTAGAGGGCAAGGCAGAGGGGGCCCTCACCAGGGAACTTGGAAAAATGATCAAAGCTCGGACTAATTTCTTCATATTGCACAAGCTGATCATTAATATTAACTAGAGTAAAAAAAATAAGGATTCAAAATACTTGATTATACCATGTTTTTACTAGAAATTTCTACTGTTGAAATCATTGGGTTTCACTACCTGCCAACATGTGTTTATCAATCTTCTCAAGAAAAGCGTGACATCGGCTTTGAGAATTGCTTTTCAGAACAGAAGTAGCTATTGTATCAGGATGTATTTTCTGCCTGATGATGTAACATGCACAGGTGCTTCCATAACGTTCTAACCCTTTACTTTAAATAAATAGGGCTGGTCACTCGCCTGCGGCACCCAGTTTGTTCCTGGAGACAGAAGGCTCCGGTCACTGCAGGGCTGAGATACGGTGAGCAATGCATTCACGACTGTTGTGGGTTTGTGCTAAAACTCAAGTTTTTAAAGGACAAAGGCAAATTCAAAATAGATTTTCCATGAGCCTAGCATTCCCCGGACTTAAAAATTAGCTGTTAAAACATGTACACTGTCTATCTGGAAACTGTGTGCCATGTGGATGAGGAAGAGAAGCGTACATAGGAACACATTGACTGGACCAAATCAATGTCCTTTGGTTTTAATTAAGACTTAGCAATGGAGCATTTTTTGGGTACCTATTTTATATAGAGGGTGCTCTGGTGGCTTAGGGGTAAAGAGTTGTGCTGTCAACCCAGAGGCACATCGTTCAAATCTGCCAGCTGCTCCAAGAGGAAAAGGTGGGCAATCTCTTCCCGCACAGTTTATAGCCTCTGCAAACCTGTGAGAGGGTCGGCCGTGAGTCGTTCTGACTCAGTGGTATATAACATAATATTTTATGCAGAGAATTCTAGGAAACATTAATAGAAAATACCAGGAATCAATGCTTTAGCACTTTCCCCCCATTTGCCTTCTAGAATATTTGTATTACCTGTTTTGTTGCGAAGGTTGAAGCAGCACAAATGGTTACGTGCTCGTTTGCCAAAAGGTTGTCTAAGGGCACAAGTGGGATCTCCCTGTGTTGGCAACTAACACATCAACACCTTTGTTGAAATGGGCCTGTTATAAGGACTGGTAGCACTCAGAAATGCTTGTTTACCCAGCAAAATGTTAATATTTTTAACTATAGCTCTTGGTCAAGGCATGTATTTCCAGGCATACAACTCTTCCTTCTTGTCATACAGGCCTGCCTCCTCAATTTGCAATTATCTGCCTGGAACCTGAAAACATTTGAGTTAGCATCCACTGACTCAAATGATGTCCTGGTTGAGGAGAGAGCCAATGTAATTTTTAAGTGTTGTGTCTCCTAGTGTGAGTAACATTGTCTATTCTGACTCGTACTGACATTGAAAGATAAAGTAGAACTATCCAGAGGAATTCCAAGGCTGCAGTATTCAAGAGAACAGACACCAAGTTTTTCTTCTGTTGGACACCAACCCTTCCCTTAGTGGCCAAGCACCACCATTGTACCATGAACCATTGTCCCACCAGGGCTCCTTTCTCTTAGATTCATGGACCTCACACTTCAGTGTGCGTCAACATCATCTGGCATGAATATTTTAAAATGTTGATGATGACCTTGTCCAGCACTTATGCAAACCTAATCCCTACAGTGTGGGAGTGATGCCCTAGGATAGGAATATTACTCAAGTGTCCTGAGAAATTCTGATGCAGGTAATTAGAATATAATGTTGAAAAAACTGGTTGGAGTCTATTCCTAATTATTTCCACAACTGGCACATAGTAGGCACTAAATATTGGTTTTTTTATTGAGTTTCAAAGGAGCTCAATTGGCTTCCTGGTAAAAAGATGGGCTGCCAACCCAAAAGCATGCAAATCCGACCTACCAGCTGCTCCACTGTAGAAAGATGGGCAGTCTCCTCCTGTGCTATGTACAGCTTCCTCCTACTGGAGACGCCGCCATACTTTGGTTCCAACTCCACTATGTAAAACAACAACAACTGAGTCTCTGAGCCAATGAGGTAGAAATCTGGACATTTATGATATTGGATTAAAGATCAAAAAAGGACACTGCCCTTTTTAGCTCTGGTGGCATAGTCTGTAAGGAGTTGCTTTGCTAACCCAGAAGTGACACCTCTCTGGAGCTTGGAATCCCCCAGTGGATCGTCTGGAGAAAGATGGGCAATATCCTCCTGTGCTGAGCTAATTCCAACAGCACGTAACAACAAGACCTCGGTCAACTGCATGGAACTCACACACACATGTTTCTCAAAGTTTTCAATACGTAGTTCTATGTTGTTATTTAGAAAAATTATAAAATAAAACCATTATCTACAGTTCTCATGACAGAAAGATGTGGCCGTTTGCTTCCATAAAGATTATAGCCTTGCAAACTCTCTGAGGCATTTCTTTTCTGTCTTATTCTTTAAGGTCATTAAAAATCAGGATCTTTTCAGTAACAATGAATTTATAACAGTGCTAAGTCTCCGGTATATGAAAACATAACAGTTTTAAGTCTAAGGCATATATCATTTACCATTTTGGGATATTGTTGTGTACTGTCAGTTCAGAACCGACCCGTAGCTGACCTTCCAGTGGATGTTCAGCGGCAGTAAATTATATAGGAGCAGGTTGTCCATCTTTTTCCCTCAGAGAAGCTGATGGAATCAAACCACATACCTATGCCCTAGCACAGCAATTCTTTACCACTGAAGCACCAGAGCTCCCTGGGATTATAGTAATAAAAAAATAAAATGCAATTGTATGAACAAAAGCTAAAGCCCTAAAATACCATGTAGTTGGTAAGTAAGTGATCTTCTGGTGTATCCCCTCCCCCTATCCCTCGTATGTCCTGGTTGCTGATAAGTCACATCTCTTTCTCTCTCACACAGGGAAATGGGTAATCCATCCTTCAGAGCTCACATTTGTGCAGGAGATAGGCAGTGGGCAGTTTGGATTGGTGCATCTTGGCTACTGGCTTCACAAGGATAAGGTGGCTATCAAAACCATTCAGGAAGGGGCCATGTCAGAAGAGGATTTCATAGAAGAGGCAGAGATCATGATGTAAGTGGTCAAAATAAGGGGTACAAAGGGGCCTTGGGAACTTATGTTCTGTGCAGTGTTTCTTAGATTTAGTGTTTCTTAGATGCCATGCCAATTCCTTGCTTAAAATTAAATGGTTGCTTCCTAGTAACAGAGTTTAAGCATTAAAAAAAAAGGATAATGCCTCTTTAGCCTCCTTATGAAGGTAAGGTTATTCTAGTATCTATAACATTTTCATATGCCCATGCCAGATTTCAGGGAAGCTCTAGTGACCTAGTGCTGCCTTGCAATCCCAAGGCACATGGTTGGAATCTCCTAACTGCTCTATGGAAGGAGAACATGCAGTCTCCTCTGTAATTTACTGCCTCCGAGAACACACTGGAAGGTCAGCTATGAGTCATTTCATATTTGAAGGCACATAATAGCAATAGCATGCACATAATAGCAACAGCATGCTAGATGTTATCTCAGAGACAACACTTTTATTTTACTTGTGCAAGAACTCAGACCACAAGCCATTGTCTTTGTTTATTTAATATTTATTATGAGCCTATCATGTGCCAGTCACTTACAGCATTGTACCTCTGTACAAGCTCCTCTTCCTGGTCTTCAAGCCTTCCATGGTCTGGCTTCACCAACCTCTTCAACTTCCTCTTCATTCCTCCACTCCCTCTGCTCCGGACATGCCCACCGCACTGGTCTCTGCCCATGTTCACATGCTGACCTGACTCTCATACATCCTTCAGGTCAGGTGTCAGCCTAAATATCACATTCTCGGTCACTCCCTCACCTTACTGTGTGTGGTTATCTTTTGTTGTTATTTACTTTTGGTAATCCAAATCTCTCTAGAATGTTAAGCTCCCTGATGGCAGGATCTTATCTGTCTTATTCATCTATTGCAATGCCCAACACATAATCACTGCTTAGTAAATGGCTTTTGGACCAGTGATGTCTAGGAAAGGGTTGTACTTGCAAACAACTGTAGAATAATTGAGAATTAGAAAGAACTGGTTGTTGGAGTCAAGTTATAACTGGTACATTTTGGTAGACCAATAATAATTACTTATTATTTTGCAGGTTGCAAAAGTCTTTCCAAAACCTTCTCTGATTGAATAAAATCCAGATTTTCTCCACATCAGCATTATTGATATTTTGTACCATATACTTCTTTACTATAAGACTGTTCTGTGTTCTATAATATATTAGTAGAATCCCCGACCATGCCCTCTAAATGCTAGTAGTACTGCTCTCTTCTACTTGTGACAACTGGAAGTCTCAGACATTACCAGCTATCCCCTAAAGGACAAAATTACCCTCAGCAAGAACCCCTAGTCTAGTCACCACACAGGGATTGTTATTACTCCCATTTTACAGATAGAGAAGCTGAGGTTCAACAATCAGGAAGGGAACCAACATTTTTTAAGAGCCTGATTCCATATTTTGTTGTCTATATTATCTACAAAGACCACACATTCTACTTTGTCCAGAAATATTACTGATAGTGTCCCCTTTAATGATCAAAAATGTCCTAGTTTGAATGTTAAATTATAAGGTTAACTCAACTATGTCCTAAAGGAGATACAGAAAGGTTTGGGGGAAAGGGCTAATTTTTTAAATAT